CGGGGACCCCCGAAGAAGACAGAAAGAAACTCCGAGGGGGCAGCTTCCTCTGCAGCACCTGCCAGAAGGAATTCCTCTACGAGAAGAGCTTCCTGAAGCACGTGAGGCAGAGGCACGGGCTGGCTGCCCAGGTGGTGCACCGCTGCGAGACCTGCCGCCCTCAACAGCCACCGGCGGCACGTGCACAGCAGCGAGCGCCTCTGCCCCTGCCCCCTCTGCTCCAAGAACTTCAAGAGGAAGAAGGACGTCAAGAGGCACATTCTCCAGGTTCATGAGGGTGGTGGGGAACGTCATCTGTGCCAGCAGTGTGGAAAGGGGTTGAGCTCCAAAACCGCCCTGAGGCTCCATGAAAGGACGCACACGGGCGACAAGCCTTATGGGTGCACAGAGTGTGAGGCTAAATTTTCTCAGCCTTCTGCACTTAAAACACACATGAGGTATGAAAAGACTTCGCTGAGCCTTGGTAGATTCTTGGGGGGGGGGGGGGGGGAGAGGGGTTTTTTTGGGGGTGGGGGGGGAGGGAGAAGGGGAATTGCCCCAGAACCCCACCCCTGAGCCTTCAAGTGAAGCGGGGATGTAAAGACCGGCCGGGGAGCGCCCCCGTTGCCTTTTGTCAGAGGTTTTTTCCCCTCCATCCTTGCTTTCCAGCTTGGGGGAGGTGCTGGGGTTCTCTCTGAGCTGAAGGCAGGGGTGTGTGGGTGCTGCAAGCACACAGCTTGGCTCGTGGGAGCAGAGCTGCTGAGAGTCAGTGGGATGGTTCACGGGAGGAAGGCAGAAGGGAAAAGCAAAGCGGGGTTCAGGGCTGTAATTATGTCTGCAAGCTTGAGGCCTCTTTATATTCAGTGGAACAACATCCCTGCAGTAAGTATGAGATGTGGAGGTGTTGGGATGTGTCCAGAGGAGGGACACAGAAGTGATCAGAGGGTTGGAGCAGCTCTGCTGTGAGGACAGGCTGAGGGAGTTGGGGTTGTGCAGCCTGGAGAAGAGAAGGCTCTGGGGGGACCTTACAGTGACCTTCCAGTACCTGAGAGGGGCTCCAGGAGAGCAGGGGAGGGACTGTTCACAAGGGTTTGGAGGGACAGGACAAGGGGGAATGGCTTTGAGCTAAAAAAGGGCAGATTTAGGTTAGACATGAGGAAAAAGTTCTTCAGTAGGAGGGTGACAGATCCCTGGAATGGGTTGCCCAGAGAGGTGGTGGAGGCCCCATCCTTGGGGACATTCCAGATGAGGCTGGATGAAGCTCTGAGCAGCTTGATCTAGTTGGAGATGTCCCTGCTGATGGTGGGGGGGTTGGGCTAGATGACTTTTGGAGGTCCCTTCCAGCCCAGATGTTCTGTGGCTCTGTGACAATATCCTAAAGAGACTCAGCCACCCATTAAGTAGCAGAACAACAGATTTGGGTGCTAAGCACAGGGAGCAGCTGGCACCTGGCTAGAGAGAGGCTGAGACGTGGGCCCCCTGAGGTGAGTGAAGCTCTGAGGACACCCCTGCAGGGTGCTGGGGTTCACTCCTAGCCAGGCCCAGGGCTTGGGGGGGTGCAGCTGCAGTCTGGGGAGCCCCCAGCCGAGGCGATTTCCTCGGGGCAGGACTCCAGCTCTCCAGGGCTGTGTCCTGCTGCTGCTTTTTGGCCCGGGTGGGGTCTCTGCTGTGTGGTGAGCGAGCTGGCTGAGGGCTGGAAGCTCAGTGCTGGTGCCTCATGTCAGTCTGCAGGGAGGATTTTCACCTTTCCCCCTCTGTTTTCAAACCCCCTGTCGATGAAGGCCACGAGAAGCAGCCTCTTGTCAGCCCCATCCCCACAGCACCTTCCCCAAGAGCCCAGACAGGGAACCTGAGCTCTGTCTTCTCCTAGAACACTACTTTGGGCAGCAGCAGCTCTGCCAGCTCCCCTCCCTGCCCCTTGAGGAGAGCCCCAAACCCCTCCACAGGCCAGCAGCTGCTCTGCCCCGTGCCACAGAGGGAGGAGCTGCCATCCTGCTGCTCTAACGCTGCTTTCTCCTTGCAGAATCCACACGGGTGAGAAACCTTTTGTCTGTGATGAGTGTGGGGCCAGGTTCACTCAGAATCACATGCTCATATATCACAAACGATGCCACACAGGTAAGGGTTGATTTTTCTGCTGCCCTGCCTACAGGAGGAGGACTGCTCTGAAACCTGGAGACCTCATTTTCCTCTAGAAAATGCCTTGTTGCTGTTGTATTGGGTTTTTTTTTAATATAAAATCAAATCTTCTCACCCTTAGGTGTGGTTTCACTGAGAGAGGTTCCTAAAGGTGGATAGGGAGAAAGTAAGGAGGGGAAAGGGAGCTGGGATCAGCTTTGAATCCTCCAAACAGCCAAAGATCTGGCTCCAGTAGAAGCTCTGGCTGAATTCTTCAGGGAAAGGCCCTTTCTCTGTGTGTCTAAAGCAGCTGCCTGGGCTTATCCTGAGGGGAAATCCTGCTCAAAGCAAAGCACGTGCCCTTGTCCTGGTGGTGTGAGGGGGTGTTTGGAGCTGACACCTTCACACCACCCTACAAAATGCTTTTAATTGACCTGCTGCCTGCGATTTGTCCCTGAGCCTGGATGGCAGAACACATGAAATGACAAAGAAATCCAATTTCAAGCAAGGTGTGACTAGAATTGGCCTGTGGGGCCTTTCACCAGCAGCACACCCAGTCGTGGTCCCTCTCTGCCTGGGAGGTTTAACCCTTGTTGCCCCTCTTGCCCCAGGGGAGAGGCCGTTCATGTGTGAAACCTGTGGGAAGAGCTTTGCCTCCAAGGAGTACCTGAAGCACCACAACAGGATCCACACGGGCTCCAAGCCCTTCAAGTGTGAAGTTTGCTTCAGGACCTTTGCACAGAGGAACTCGCTTTACCAGCACATCAAAGTCCACACAGGTAAGAGCTGCTTTTTTTGGGGGGGTGGGAGGGGGCTGAAAGTGCTGTTTAAAGCCAGCGAGCTCATGGCTGTTCAGTTCATAGAATCCTTTAGGTTGGAAGAGACTTTTAAGATCATTTAAGTGCAAGCATTGAGCCAATAGGGCTCTAAAATCCTCTGCTAAAACAGATCAGAATCTGTCAGGGCTGGAAGGGACCACAAGGATCCCCCAGTTCCAACCCCCCT